GCCCTTTTAAATGTTTTACATAAACCTACAACGTACTGCGTATCTATAGAAGAACATGGTGCGCGGCCCAATAATCTGGCGGCATTTTGTACGCAGTACTACATAGCGATCGTGATCTTAGAGTAGCTCCCTCCTAACTTAGTTCCTATAAGCAAAGTCTTCAACGACCTTCTAGACGAATACACTCTTAATATAACGAGCTGGTAGAGACATACACGAATTTAGAATCTCTAAGTTTGTCTTGGTCTTCTTGAATCTCAGTTGTTGGGAACCTCGACTTTGTCTTCCCTGTTATCCGTGCCCCTGCGGAAGAGACCACTCTAAAGATACGGATAAACGGTCGATGATTAACAGTCTTCGTAATCTGTCCTTCTTTCTCTTCGTCTTCATCTTGACACGACTAACTATAAAATGCGCCTTATTTTCATGATCTTATACATCTTAGCGGCCAGGCAACGCTCTAGACGACTTAAGTCGATCTTGCTTCCGCTATTATTACGTCTTGAACGGGTGGCGCCGAAGGTGTGGTACCTTTGCTCCTGGCAGGTTATATGCCATGTGCCGCTAAATATGATATTGTGTTTGATGAATTCGTGAAAGAGGCTGGCCTAAGTTCATTCAAGAAGCATGTCACGTGCCAGCTATGGCAGACCTCCGAGACATAGCGTCAGAAACGTGTGGACAGGGTGGTCATCGATACGATCGATACGATATCGATATCGATTAGCGATATCGTCGATATCGTCGATATCGAAGTGCACGGTCTATTATCTACTAGAGAACCTAAGAACTTCGTGACCGAATTAAGCAATCGTATTGTTTTTCTAGATCTATGCTCGATTTTTACCTTTTCGGCCTTAAGTTAAACTACCTAATACTTTCCGTCGCTTTATTTTTCTTTTAATACTTTAAGCATTCTACTATCTTAATAGTTTCTTCTCCTAATTTTATCCTTTCCTATAATATTATCCGCCGCGCTCTAGAAAATACTCTCTCTGCCTCCGTACTTATCTATATCGTAGGAATCGATAATATATTAATAGTAAGCTACGATAGCTTCGGCTAACGCTTACGCTGCTATATATCTAGCTACTATTAGAGAGCTAGTATATTAATTTAAATAGCTAGCTTATTAATATACTCTTTATATTTATCCTTACTTTATAGCCGCGGAAAATTACTTAGCTTCTTAGTAATAAGATTAAATACTTCTAGATTATCTATAATTATATATATAGATTCTTTAAGCGAAACCGAGTAGCTAATATAGTCCTAAGCCTTAAAGCTATTCTAAAGCTATTTTATAGCCTATATAGTAGGTCGCACCTACTTTTTATCCTAATTATATTTTAGGTATCCTATCTAGCGCGAGGGATAAAAAATTATCGCTGCTATATAGTAAGGTAAATCCTTAGTCTTTAAGTAGTACTTATCGAAGGCGTGCTAGCTTCTTAAGATACGCGGAGAAAAGAAACGGTTAGATCTATACTTATTAAGACTTATCTTAAAATACTATATAAGAATATCTATTATAAAAAGGACACGATCGATCGTTATAGAGTCCCCCTTTATTACTTTAATAGCCCGGTAAAAAGGCTTAAGAAAGTCTAGTATAATACGTAACTATTCCTAATCTTACGGTAATAGATAGTCGTTTTCGAGATCCTTAAAGTACTACTTAGAGTAGGAATCGATCGCTAAGGCCTTTTTAATTATAACGCATAGTATCTTATACTAACTATTCTATTTTATAAGCTAGTAATCCGCGGATATAGATAATAACGTTATAAAGCCGTCTAAGCGGCCCGAGAGTTCGAAATATATCTCTAGTATATAATATACTACTAAGGTCTTAATCGTTATTCTACTACCCCTCTTTGTTTTTAAGCTCCTAAAATAGGAATACCTTAACGGTAAGGTTAATAATATACCTACTATATCTAATACGGTTAATAGAGGACTCCTAGGATATCCCTTCTTTTATAAGTATAGAGCTTATTATATAGTAAAGCTTATCGTTTAAAGAAGTATTATCGCTAGCAAAAGCGCCGAGCCTTAGAACGATACCGTAATTATAAAGGATCGGGAAGAGAGCTTCGAACTAAGCTTCTATACTATAAGAAAGGATAGGAGGAAGTATAAGAAGGGCTTTAGAAAGCCTCTCCGTCTCGTAGTCGATAAATTACGCGTATATTCTTAGTAAGAGCTTTTTACTCAGGGAAGTCTAAATATCGACCGAAATATAAATCGATAATAGCGCTAACTAGAGTCTTTTTCGTAGGGCATCCTTATATAGAAGCTATAAGCTCGCTATCCTTTTCCTTACCTCTATATATAACGAGATAATCTCTATAGTAGCTTAAGGATTTAAAGCTTTATAGAACGTATAGAACTTATTAGACTTAACTAGCCGGAATAGTAAGCTATATACCGTAATTAATAAGATAAGAGCTTTATTAATTATATCCTTATATATAACCTCCTTAACTATCTAGGTATTAAGCTAGGAGATCTAGCTCGTAACGGATGCTTAAGTATAGAGAGCTTATAAGGCTAGCTAGCTAGTAGTATCTACTCGGCGAGGCTCGTATTTAATAATAATACCATGCTACTTAAGAAGATAGTTTCGGAAAGTCGTACTGCTCTAGCATCCGTAGGAAGGATTATTATAATACTTATAATAAAACACACGGTTCTTAGCCTTATACTTCGGCTTATCGTCCTAAGGTTCTCGGGCATACGTTCGAAGGCTTAATAATAGAGCGGGTTGCTCTTAAAGACTTAATCCTTCGGCAATAAAAGAAAGCTCTAGGAAATACAACGAGTCCGGTAAAGAAGTTATTAAATAAAATTAGATTATTAGCGCCTATTAGTTAAGCCGCGTAAGCAATACTAAAGGTAAGTCGTGCTAAAGATAGAACTATTTATATTCGACTAACTTTAGTCTGATTTTCTAAGTTTTACTATCTTTCTTAACCGGGCATTTACCCCTTTCTAGCTATTATCTACCTTAAATTACGATATATAAAGGGGCTTAGTTTATACGTCGTAACTAGTTAAAACTCGGTTCTACTATAATCGATATCGATTAATATCGATATCGGTATCGATACGATATCGATCGACGATAAAATCGATATCGATATCGACTAACCACCCTAGTAGCCTTAGGTAAGAAATATATAAAAGTCTTTAAGATAGTCGTTTTAGATAGGCCCGTCGAGGATTATATCGTGAGCGCGTTAAGGGTATCTCGTTATCCGTCCTATAGTAGTAATAAGTTAAATTAACTCGGCTTTATATAGTAGCTTTAGAAACTCCCTCCTAGCGAAGGATAAGAATAGTTCGGGAGCTAAGTCCTTATTAGGCATATTAAATATGCTTCGATCTTTGCCCGGGCTTATTAGAACGTTACGGGATCTAACGTTTGCCGGTTCTAGCCTAAACCTAAAGTAATATTCGGAGAACTAGTTTAGCTAGACTTAGGCGTTAGGGCTATTATTAATATCGTTCTTGCCTTCTAATCTACTATTTCTTCCTTTAGTTAGTAGAGTTGCTTAGAAGATTAAATGCGACTATTTTTAATAATATATAAGTAGAAATAACCGCTTAAATCTACGTCGGAATTTACAGTCTTTCCGTAGACACGGCTTAGATAGGTATAGAAATTAACGTTTCTTATCTAAATTTTCGGTAGACAACTTTTCTCTCTTAGACTATAGTAGGGATAGGTATACTATTTTCCGGGTAAAGGGAGCTTAGCATAAACGGTCGTAAGGTGCCGCTAAAGATTAGCGTTAGAACCGAACCCGTCTTCTAACCTAGCATAGCTAGAATAGGGGCATTTAAAAGGCTTTTCGTAGATCCTATTATATTTTCTAGCTCGTATTAACTATATTATCTAAATAATTATAAGGATTAAGCGCATTTACTTAAATATAGAAAGAGTCTTACACACGCAATAATATATCTCGTATCGGAGAACCCCTCGGCTTAATAGGTATAGGTGCAGCACTATTAAAAGCAAATCGTCGGACGAAAGAGCAGATCGCCTTATCTTAATATAATAACGGAGAGAAAGTGCCTACTTAGTAGTAAAGTTAAAACGTTGCTTCTTTAGATAGAAAAGTGGTAAACCCTATAGTTAGTCTTTTCCCGAGGAAAGCATTTTATTAATAGGTGAAAAAGGAGAAAGCCGGACTATTACTTATAAAAGCCAAAGTAAGCAAACTACAGATACGGTAGAAAACAAGGGCCGACAATAATTCGTTTCACGGCTCCCGCCTTTATCGAGTAGACATCCTATATATTTAATAAACCCTATAGCCGGACAACGCATAGCGTGCAGCTAAAGGCTAGGAAGCGCTCCCGGTTAGCTAGGGTGTCTAGGACCTCGTAGCACTAGATAGCTATTCTCTTAGTAAGGGCTAAGACCTATAGTAAAATCTAAATTTAGTGTAATCCCCTCGGCTAGGACACCGACATAGACCGCACGATCTTAGTAGGCAATATCGACAAATACTATAAATCGAAAAACACGCTATTTATCTTCTTAATTATCCTCCTTAGCTAACTAAGATGCAACGATTTATAAAGTATAAGAAAGAGTGTCGCAAATTTAAAAAGACGCCTTTACGGCCTTATATAGTTCGTTCTTACCGTAGCATCTTCGTCTATATCCCTTAAGTGTTCACTCGCATATCTCTCTAGTTTTTTAAGGCCTATCTTCTTCGCTGTCTCTTTAGTAGATTGAAAAAGTCGCCGCTGCGTGGGTTAGTTCCTAATCGATGCTACTTATAAGCGAGAACTTATAAATGCGCCCTCCGTCTCAATAGGATCAAAACAGCCGTTCTCGTAAAGGCGGTACCTATAAGAAATCTCTATATACTCGGCCACTAGGTATAGGGGGTCTCCTCCGAGTATACTAAGGGATCTAGGCTGTCCTATAAATTGTGCAATCGCCTAGAGATCTAGGCGTAATTATTCTAACGAGCACTTTTATGCAAACTCGCCTGCTGCCTCGGTATTCCCTTCAATCTCCTTGCCTAGTCCTCGCATAATTCTAAAGACAATCGTCTGGAAAACGACGGTAGGGATCTCGAGTTATACTTCAGAAGAAGGTCTAAATGACCCACAGAGGTCCTTAGATTGGGGTCTGATGGTCTCTTCGATACGCTCCGTGTCAGCGCCGCCATCACGCTCGTCTACACGCTGCGGCTGCCGAGGGCCTGGCGGCTGGTGCTCGGCGTTATTCTTGTGGTCAAGCTGGCGCTGGTGCGCGCAGCCGACCGGGGCGAGTCCTTCGCCCGGCACGGCAACTACAACATGATCCTCTTCGTCGTCCTCGCCGTGCCGCTGAACCTCGTGGTGTTCGCCACGGTCCTGCTTTACCGGAGCACGCGGCATTTCTGGCGCATCGCCGGCGCCTTCGTCGTCTCGCTACTGCTGCTCACCAGCGTGTCGCTCGTCCGTCAGAGAGCGCGCTGGAGAGCCGGATTCCTCGGGCGCGGCTACCAGCCCGATGCGGCGGCGTGTCGGTTCCCCGAGCCAAACTGGCCTTTTATTGACCTACTGCCTGCGGGAGCCTAGAATTTCTAGACAGGCTCCCAGAGCTGTCCCTTGCCGTCCATCGACTTCGATGCGCGGCTCACGCAGCACGACGCCCTCCTGACCATCGACGGATGCCCGCCGGGCCTGCCGGTTTCATATGACGTGCTGCCCAACACGCGCAGCTGGCCCGCGTCTGAGAAGAAAGAGTATGTATTGAACCGGATGATTGTCCAGCGCACGGTGCGGCGCGAGTATACCGGCCGGGTGCGCCTCGACGTGCGGTCGACCGAGACGGTCATTGCGAGATGCGGCCACGAGGAGAAGCTGCTGCTGCGCGTCGCCCGCACGCTGCCGCCGGCGCGCGTGAGCCAAGGACGGACCGAGACGCAGCGGCCCAACATACTGCTACTCTCCTTCGACGCCGTGTCCCGCCGGGGCTTTCACCGGCGGCTGCGGCGCACATCCAAGCTGTTGGAGGAGCTGCACGAGCCTGGCCGGCGTTAGCTCTACCAGTTTTTCCGCTCGCACGCCGTCGGCTTCAACACCGACGACAACAGCCGCAGTATGTACACGGGAACAATACGGCGCAGCGGCGTCGACCCTGTCTGGCAGCAGTTTCGCGACGCCGGCTACATCGTTGCCCACACCAGTGTGGTTTTCGATCCAGTCAATCCTAATCAATCGATATTAACGGATTAATTAAATTAACTAGTAAGATTATTAATCTTATTAATCTATATAGTGCTATAACTGCTATAGAGGCGCTACTAATTTAATAATCTATTTTAGCGGGATAACTAGGTAAAGGAGCGCTATAGCGTAGTATTTAAAAGGATACTTAATTAACTACTTTATACTATTATCTTTAAAGTCTAATATAAGGACTTCGATACTAACTTTTTATATATTCTAGTATTTTAATAGTTTCTACTAATAACTACGCTCTATCCTATAAGATTATATAACGCGCTCCTAAAAAAACTCGCTTTACTTTATTACTTATTACTAGAATTAAGAGGATATTAATTACTATAATTAAAAGCTATAAAAAGTATATTTATTATTAATCTTATAGCTACTACTTAATAGTAGTTATCTTACTAAGCCTATATAGTTCTTAGTTATAATAATTATCGAACTTATCTTAGCTTTATAGCTAATAGTAATCTTTTAGGCCTCGCGCGATCCTATTAAATATAGATACTAGCTCTTAGGTCTCTAGACTAGCTTCGGCTTTATATAATAGTATAGTACTAAGATTGCTATCTTAATAGCTCTGCTAAAGCTCCTTAATATTATTAATCGCTTTCTTTTACTAGGATGCTTTTTAGTTATTTTAGATATACTTTATACGAAAATCTAGATTAAGTATAATACCAGTAGTATAAAAAGGAGAGTCGTTTATCTTACTATAATACTTATTAAGGGTCTCCTAGCTACTTTAAATCTATAAATAGAGCTCCTTATTAGCCTTAAATTTAAATAGAGCTCCTTTAAGGTACCTAATTAATATATCTATAGTAAAGAGTATAAAGTCGATTATTATATTATATCCTTAGTAATATAGAGTTACCTCTTAAAATAGTGCTAAAAACGTCTAGACCGTTTAAATCTTTTACTAGTCTAAAAGAGAGAGGAAGTCGTCTTTAAGGTTATCCTAGTAAGCTTTATAGAATCTATTAATCTTTCCTTTATACTAAAGTATAACCTTATATATATTAGTCTAGCTATTCTATCTTATACGATTATCTAGCGGAACTAGTCGCCTTACTAGCTTAATAAAAGCTTAGGTATAGCCGCTTAACGCTCGAATAAAGATAATAATATTATAAAGCTTACTAAATAGACCTATTTTCTAGAATAACTATTATAAGGATTTATTAATAGATCTAGCTATACTATCCTAAGCTATAATCTCCTACTCTTTATATAAGTTTAACTCCTCTATCTATATAGAGTTATAAAAAAGAAAGGCCTAGATAGTAAAGTTAATAATATAGCTAATATAATATATATAGTAAATAACTAGATCTTAATTAATGCCTTATTATTTAAGGTATTCGCTTATTATATAGTAAAGCATATTATTAAAGCTTACGTTATCGCTAATAATAGATCTAACCTTTTAAAAGATACTATAGTCCTTAAGGACTAGTAGTATAGTATAGAATTACTTTAATCTAAAGTAGCTAGGAATCCTATAAAGACTAATAAAAAGCCTAGATAATTTATCTTAGTCTTATATAATAAAGTAGGTATAGATTTTAAGAAGAAGAAGCTTATTTTAAGAAGTCTATATATTAACTACTAGATAAATACTTAAACTTAATAATTAAAGCGCCTTTTATATAAGATCCTTTTAAGATTTATATATTATATAGATCGCTTTCCTAATCTTAGAGTATACGGTTATAATATATCTATTTACTTTTAAATTAAGTACTTTATAAAGGGCGTAAAACTTAAGCTATTTAACGATATAAAAAGATAGATTTTACGCGACGATTAATATAGTAAGTGCCTTTATAATAATTTCCTTATTAAGCACCTTATAAAGGATATAGTTATTAATTACCTTTATCTACCCTATTAATATAGCCTTAAAGTAAAGCTATTTAAGCTACTTAAATACTATATTTAGAATATAAGGTACTTTTACTATAATAATCCTATAAATCTTTATAAGGTATACTTAAAAGGTATTACTTACTTAATATCGATAGCTATCTATATAATACTTATAATAAAAGAGTCGGTTTTTACTAGCTCTATTAAGTTTATATAGTCTTAGTAGATAATAATATTCCTTAGTTATAATTACTAAAGTACCTCTTATATTTCTAGATATAGTATTTATATTAGTTCTATTTAAATTATTAATAGAAAGTATTATAAGAGATAAATTAAGTTTAGTTTCTATAATAAATATTAAAGAAAGTATAATATTTAACTTATAAAACGAATAGTATATAAAGTATAAAGTTAATAGATTACCTATATAAATCTACTATTTACCTAAAAGATAAGGGGGGGGGGGTTCTAGCTAGTAGTATAACTACTTTAGGTAATTAAAATAAGATAATTTCTAGATAAGCGCGTAATTATCGATCTTTATTTACCGATAATAGGGATTGCCGGCGCTCGGATTAAATAAAGTTTAGTCCGTTAATCCTTATAGCGCTATAATCCGCCGTTTAAGGCGCCGCCCCTTAATTTAATTTATTAGCTAGATAACGGGGCTAGTAACTAGTAGAAGCTAATAAGAGATAGTAGAGGAAGGCTACGCGGATTAACTAGGATTAATAATCCGGTAGTTAATATAATTTAATTTAATCCGCGATATTAATTAATTAGATTAATAAGGGTCTAGATTAAAAACCACACTGCCTAGAAATTCACTGTCGGCTCGAGGCTCCTAACTCTAAAAGTCGAGATCAGCAGCAAGTCGAGGATAATATTTACAGCTAACTTTCGTAGCGGCTTCGACGATCGAGTTTGCCTTCGAGATTATCTCGGCCGCCTTCCTATACCAGGGGCAGGACCACGGCGGCCACGCCTTGGCTGTGCGGAAGGCTGCCGCACGCGATGATAATTCCGGTATAAATCCTCCTAACGTTGCATAAAAGGTTGCTCCTCTTTAGCCGGGTTCTCTTCGCATAGATCGCGTATTAAACCTCTAAGGACGGGTGAGTCTTTCGTGGCGTCCGTATCCTGCACGGCATTTCGCAAAATCTAGAGTAGAGCTTTATAGGCCTAACGATGAGCTATCGCTAGAGGCTCCTCTTCGTAGCGGCTATCGTTAAGTAGGTACTCGACGTTAATTATATCGTCGCCCTCCGATCGACTAGCCTAGAGCTTCGCGTCTTTGCGCGTATCCTCGGTAGACTTTCTTAAAAGATAAATATTAGAGATATAGAACGGAGGCGAGGATAAAGCCCCGCTTAATGCCTTGTCTATATATTGGTTATATCGCCTTAGCTCTTAGAAATAAAATTTTCCTAAGGGACGAATAACGCTAAATATAGGATAGAATTTCTATATAGGCAGTTAGACGGAGCTAAAAATAATGCTAAGGGGTTAGAGCGTACCGCTTAATATATACTAGGTAATCGTCCTTATAGTTATCGCTAATATATCCTTAGAAGATCGGGACGGCGTACTAGTCGGGCCGTCGAAGCTTTTATATCTAGCCGTTACGGTCGGAGTCTTACCTATCGAGAAAAATATAAGACTTATCTTTACTCTAACTATTTCGACGTACTAAGTAAACTATTAATATATAGTTATATAGGAATAAGTCTCGTAGAATAGGGCCGCGGTAGGCGTATACGTCTAGGTATAAAAGGGTTCGCCCTCCTTACCTTAGAGGGATTGTCTCTAGGGGCCGTTCTACGTTCGTGAGCTCGCCGGCCTAGTAGCGGAGATATGCCTATAGCCGAAAGATTATCTAGTAGAGGGCCGATAAGTTTAGGAACGACTAATGCGGCACGTTAGTAAAGTCGGTATTATATCTAAGGAGGTAGTAATAGACCTCTATAGCCGAGAGTTATCGCTCAGAGAAGATCCGATTTACCGTTCTTATTAGGAACTAACGGCTCTTATTTAAAACTGCCTACTGCCTATCGTCGGGCTAGGCGGGACCTAGCGTGCGATACCTCGGACGACCGGCTTTACGAAGTTAGCGGGCAACCTTAGCGGCGAGAGCAATGCGTTTCTATATCGGCGTATCTAGTTTAGTAGCGTAGTTCGTGATATAGTATACCGTAGCTAGGCCCTTAGTCTTAGTTAGGATTATCGAGACGTCGTAATTATAGCGAATACCGACCGCTAATAACTTATTATACCGGTTAATAAGTAGATAGTTGCGCCGGATCTAAAGTAAGCTATCCTCTATAAACCCTATCTCGTCGACGATTTTCTAAGGTACTTTAAAGCGGCAGGCTATCCGTCTCTATAGATCTATACCCTATTCGACGATCCCCTTAAGAGAATACTTAAGGCAGGTATACGTATAGGAGTATACTTAGTAATAGTACGCGATAAAGTTAGATTCGTCGTCGAAGGCTATAGTAAGAGCCGAGGTGCTAGCTATAACCTCCTCTATAGGGTAGATAGGCTTCCTCTCCTATCGCACGGCTTTCCCGGCATCTTTATCTAGATACTTATAAAAGACGGAGTCTATATATCGGATCACCTAGGCACGATATGCTTCTTCCGCGGGATTGGCTATATCGCCTATTAGGTTCGGTAACCGTATATTGCCGTCTAGCTAGAGAAGTCTATATAAGTAGAGGCTGCCTCGCTCGTTCGTTTCTACCGTAGCGTAGTAGTAGCTAATCTTCCCGAATACCAACTCCTAGCCCGTATTAACGTACTTTTTAAAGAATAAGGATACTTCCCGATAGAAGAAGATAGCCGAGCTAACTAGATCTATAGTGCTAAGGGCGATTCTATCGTACTTTTTACGGAGATCGGCTAAAAGTCCCTTTATAGACTTATAATCGTATAGCCTATAAATAGCAAGCTTTATCTTTACCGGATTATTAATATCGTTAGGACTAATAGTAATCTAGATTATAGGCATACCGGCGCGGATATCTAGAGCTTATATATTCCTCCGTATAAGTAAACGGGATTCGTTCGAGAGCGGCTATATATAGCCAAAGATCGATAGCTCGCGAAGCAAGACCGATATATCGGGGTCCGACGTTATCCTTATCTCCCGCATCTCCGCCTCGGCTCTCTTTAGCCGGTCCTCTATTAAGTTCGCATAGGCTTACTTAAGTCTATAGAAGGAATCTTTAGCGACACGGACTATACTAATACGGCGGTTAGAGGAGCGAAGGAGGGTGTTAAATACTAAGAAATAAAAGATAGGATAGGCGGCGAATCGGCTACTATGCCGTTATAATACGTATCTAGTCTAGTACTAAAGAGAGTGATTTAGACGATAGTCGGGAGTGTCGCTTTGTTAGCTATAACTCGAGTCGCCCTTCGATTTCGGGCCGCCCCTTCCCTACGGAAAAAGCTTCGGAAATATTCGAGGGAAGAAATCTTTATATAGGTTGTCTGCAAAATCCGCACCACGCTCTACTCGGACGAACGGCTGGTCTCCCGTAGTCTAGACCTATATAACGCACGGCATAGAGATGCCATATCGGTCCGGATTAGTGTTAACGATATCGGCCAGAAACGACAGTTTATCGGTCTCCGCGAAGGCAGCCGGTCTATCGAGAGGAAACATGCCGGACGTCGACGTCTTACAGACGGTGTCAACTTCTAGGCCGACGGCAGCCGAGTCGGGGACAGGAGTCGCCGGGTCACTAGGGAAGGGTTAAGTCTAGTTAGTCGATAGAGTACGGTCGAAATCGCAAGATTTAGCGTCGAAAGGAGGATCGATCGAGTTTACGAGATTATCGATACTTCTAAAGCTACTTTCCTCTAAGCCTCGATTAGTATCCGGGACTATATAGTCCGTTTATATCTTCTTAACGGTCGACGGTTCCTCTCTTCGCATACGGTCTATAATAAGAGTCGGAATACTAGAGCCGTCGGTATACTACTAGCCGTCTATCTCTACTTAGTTGATCGCGATATCCTCGTAAAGCGGGTTATTCCTCTATAGCTATGCTAGGGCAGCTACTACTCGAGATCTGCGCACCTAAAGTAGGTGTCTAACGTCTGCGGAGCTAGGCTTAGCCGAACCGCTCTAAGAGACGTAGATGTTCTTAATGGCCTATAGTAAGGGATAGGGAAGAACCATGGCCATAAGATCGTCTACCTTATTCGGAAAGACGACGATATATCCTTTTACGTGCTTACGGTAGCTAATTCCCGAACGGGTCTTATTATCGACTATAAACTTAGTGATATAGCTAATAGGCGCATGCAAGGCAATAAGTCTCTCCTTAACGGGAGAGAGGTTATCAAGCTCGCTAGGGTACCGATGTTCGCAACTAATAGCCATATTATTAACCGAGCAGGCTTTAGGCAGCCGTCTACCGTCGAAGCTAGCGCGACACTCGCGGCATACGTTAACTCCCGCGCGCTCGTGCGGCGGAAGGCAAGCGTCACACTTCTAGATGGTCCTGGTCGCCTGCAGCAGGGAGGGTGACAATAGACTCCTCCACTGCATGGTTAAGAGCTCGCAAGGTAGGGCCTTTCTATAGCAGAAGACGCAGTAAGAAATCGGCAACGTCCTCTTATCCGTAAACGCCTAGTAGAACGATCTAGGAGCTGCTACCTAAAGGGCAAGTGGAACTTCGTTGCACCAGGATCTTATTAACGATGCCTGCTCTTTAGAGCGGAAACAGGCGTTATAGTGATATAAGGTAGACTTAATAGAGTCTCGCTAGAGTTAAACGGTTTCTCGCGTAGGCCCGGGCCTCGTGGGGAAGCGCCCCGTCCGCGTGAGCGATAAAGGGCGAAGCGATTGTTCCGCTCTGGATCGACTCGGGGATGGAGAGGCTGGCGTCTGCATGTGACTTTTAAAGGAGCGCTTTAGCTGCGTGGGGGGTAGAGTGGGAGGTGTCTCCTCTTCTCTGTGTCGTTTCGGTGATAGAGCGGCCGGCGGCTGCGTGTGTCTTTTGGAGGAGCGCCTTAGCTGCGTGGGTGGTGGAGTGGGGGGTGCTTGCCCCTCTCTAGGTCGTCTCGGTGATGCAGTCGCTGGCGGCTGCGTGTGTCTTGTAGGGAAGTGTTTTGGCTGCGTTGGGGGTGGAGTGGAGGGCGCTTGCTCTTCTCGGGGTCGTCTCGGGGATGGGTTGTTCGGCTGCTGCGTGTGTGCGGTATATTTGAATTGAGCTTTACGGTGGCGGCTTCGTTCTTTAGCGCGCTGGCGGTCTATATCGTGCAAGACGCGGAGGATCTCGTCGTGGGGAACCCTAATAAGCGGTGAAGGTCGCTGATAGGAACGGCGCTGCTGGGATCTCTGCGATTCAAGATCACCCAAAGTGCGGCGAACCTCCTCGGGTGAGACTGTGACTGGATGTTCTCGCGGCATGGTGCACGGGGATGGCTGTGAACAATTGGTACGAGAAAGGAGAGTTGGCGGAGCGATTAGGTCAAGGTCAAGACCTTTTGCCCTCGCCGGCCGGGGAGGGGCCCCTCCCCGGGGCCCCCGGGAGTGGGCCCGGAGCGGGCAGCAGCAGGGCCGGCCAGGGAGTGGGACCGGAAGGGGCAACAGGAACAGGAAGTTGGTGGGGACAGTACAGGTGGCGGTGAAGAGTGGCTGGAGGGCACGGAGCGGCATACGGTCCGTGCGTAAGGTGTGGAGGGTGTGGAGGTGTGGCGAAGGACGCGGAAGAAGGATCCTTTCGTCTCTTCGTTCCTCAAGGCAAAGATGCGGAAGGAAGAACCTTTCGTTCCTCAAGGCATAGTGGATTTTCTAGAGCGGCGCTGACGAGCGGCGGACTCGAGCCAAACTTCAATAGGCAAGATCGCCGAGCTTACCCCTGTTGGTGTCGTGCCAGCGCGTACGCTTAGAATCCACTGCGGGGAACTAACCAGACGCCGATCTGCCGACCCGAGCAACGAATCAAGACAACATAAAGCAGTGAGAAAATTTTGCACAAGGGGTGTCAAATATATATCAGCCTCCCTTCGTTGCGCGTATTCTTAGGGACAAGGATACTCTTAGCTAACCTCCGGAGTATAAACAGCAGTAAAGAAAGGTTCAAGCAAAATGCTCGGACAAGGCACGGAAGCAGACTCGAATGTATCACTGGACGAAGTTGTCCCTCTTGGCGTTTTTGACGACACAAGCCTCAAGCAGCCTATAGTTATTGATTCAACGTTTATTTTCGACGGGGTTCTTGATGTTGCACGGCTGCGGAACAGCCTTGAGAGGCTAATTGAGCAGGATGGTTGGAGGAAAGCTGGTGCGAGATTAAGGCTCAATGTAAGTACCGAGTAACCTGTTTGAGAGAGATGGGAACTTGGACTCCTGACAATTCTATGCAGAAGAAAACAGGTGGCCTGGAGCATCATATTCCATCTCGATTTACTCGAGATCGTCCAGCAATCAGGTTTCACCACGTTCAGCATCAAATGGCCAGAGCACATCATCCCATAGCCTCTACGTTGCCGGGTCCTACTGCCACGCTGACCGTAATGGTCGACCCAGGTGAATCTCATCAATTGTGGACCTATCATAATGCACCAACGAAGCTCCAAGATTATTTGCAAAATGATGAACCTCAGTTAGGCCTCGTCATAGTCTCATTTACTGATTCGACTATCGTCTCACTCAGCTGGACCCATTTGCTCTTCGATGCAATGGGGTTTGGGGAACTCGTTCATGCTTGGTCATTGATCGTTCAGGATCGGCATGATGAGATCCGCGAACCGGTTGGGATTGAAAGCGATCCACTGGTTGATCTCGGCACAAACCCCTGGAAACCTCATAGACTTGACAAGCTACGTCTATCGTGGCTTGGAGTCGTCCTATATTATTGCCGGCTTTTATTGCAAATGCTCATGCATGGACAACGGAGCCGTATGATATACGTGCCCGGTCCATTCCTCCAGCGACTTCGCAAAAACGCAAGTTCAGAGGTTTTTGCGAAGAATGAATTTGGCGATAACCAATTTCTGAGCGATGGCGATATCCTTTTCGCATGGTGGGCGAAAATCGGGGCCTCGCACTTGTCAGACTCCGACAAATTGGTGCACTTGGCCGGCGCTCTAGGCTGGCGACCTACACTTCAAGGCAATTTACTCCCCTTGGACAGGCCATATCTCTCCAATGCATTTGGGTTTTTTGGTGTCTTGGTCCCTGCCAGAGACTTGTGTGCCAAGTCAATTGGTTGGTTAGCCTGGCGAATTCGCCAAAGTATAACGGAGTCTCGTCAACGAGACCAAGTCGAGTCATACGCGGCGCTTTGGAGGCAATCAACGAAAATGAACATTCCTTTATTCGGAAACCCTATGATGCACATGATGGTCTACTCTAATTGGTCGAAAGCGAGACTTTTCGAAGTCGACTTTTCTGCGGCGGTTGTTCAACCAGGAGATACACGTTCGTCTGCAAAACCTGGACGGCCTTCCTATATTCAGAGTTGCTTTCGCAGAGTCCGCTTGTCTGACTTTATGATTGTTATCGGCAAGGACTGTCTGGGAGGCTACTGGGTGACTGCTATAACGGATGCACGACATTGGATTGCTATTGAGCACGCCCTAAGCAACACAGAAGAGGCCGATGGGTAAAAGTGCTGTTAAGGAACTAGTACCTATAACGTATTGAATGCCCAGACTGTAATATCATCTCACGAGAGCAACTGTGGCGAGCCGAATCCGTCGGTAACTCGGCATGACTTCCGAGCAGGCCCAACGTGAGCTCCCGTGAGAAACCCTGGACCTCGTCTCGCGACCTATATCTTCCACTTTGATTTCTTCCATATCACACTCTTCTTAGCCCTTCGGTACTGGTCGCAGGCGCTCAACTCATTGTCATTATGCTCCATTAAGACCATTGTAACAATCGACAGGCTTAAGTAATGTCTATACGAGAAGAGTATAAATATAGACTTCGTGCTCGTCGTCCTTGTTTAGAGCATTTCTCTATATAGATGGAACGGATCTAACTCTACAACTAGACTCTCGGCTTATAGGCTCCCAATGACTGCTTTGCTCCGCCCTGCTGGCTGGTGGTACCATGCCCCACCCCCCTTTCGGTAACACCCACCTTTCGGTAGCGCATTAGGAAATATCCCCACCAAAACCCATCAATTTCACTTACACCGATTCCAGCCAGCTTTGAAGATATTCACAAGCCGTCACTTGGAGTAGATAGAGGATTGATTGAATTCTACTTTTCGATGGTTGAATGTTTGTACAGGGGTCTGTGGCCTGTGCGTACCTTGCACGCGAAATTACCATCCAACCCCCTAATCTCCTTCCGCCTCCTGACGATGATTCTTCTCGTTATTCCTCCACCACATGACCAAAATGACCTTAAAGCGGCCTCGGAGTATTTATACGGAGGATATTATGGCTAATGCGATAATTGATGTCACAAAAAACGGCTTGTCGCAGTACCGCGCCGCCCAAAAGTATGACATACCTCAGCAGTCTATTTCCGACAGACTCAAAGGCCAGGTAGCCCTGGCTGATCAGATCCAGCCTCGTCAACTCTTGAGTAAGTCTCAGGAAGCTCGCTTGGTTTCTTGGATCCTCCGCCAAGAGTCTCTCGGCTATGCTCCCTCCCACAGTCAGATCCGCGCATGTGTGGAGGCTCTTATGAAGCAACTGAACAACGAGCGGACAGTGGGGCGCAACTGGGTCTCTAAATTCATCAATCGCCATCCGGACATCAAGAACAAGCGTGGGAGACGTCAGGAAGCTAACCGATTTAATGCTTTTACGCCTCGTGCGGTTCACTGGTTCTTCGATATCAGGAAAAGGAGTATGGATGGATTAAACCAGAAAATACCGTGAATGTTGACGAAGGCGGTATTATGTCTGGCTTTGGTGAGTATTTGGCTTGTCTTTCATTACTTTTACTAACCAGACTCTTTTTGCCAGGTTTGGATAGTCTTGTGGTTGGGAGTGCAGACCCAAACGGAAGGCCCTTCTGAAAGGGCCACAGTCCCGCAACTGGACCTCATTTATTGAAGCTATCACCGCGGACGGCCGTGTCCTTACCCTGGCATTATCTTTAAGGGCAAAGAACTTCAGAAACAGTGGTTCTTGACGGAATTCGGCAAAATAGCCGACTGGCATTACATAACGTCGCCCAACGGATGGACGGACAACCATATCGCTATTGAGTGGCTTGAGAGGGTCTATTTGCCCCAGACGCGACCAGCCGATGCCTCAGATGCTAGACTGATCATATTAGATGGACATGGAAGTCATGCAACGGTGCGTTTCTTTATCCACCTCTGTAGGAATTACCGTTAACCGGGACCAGGATGCATGGATGGCCACATGCTTTTGAACAACGTTTATTGCTGTTACCTTCCTGCCCACTGCTCTCATGGCCTCCAGCCGTTAGATAACGGTGTATTCAATGCCTCCAAGGCAGCTTACCGGAAAGAACTTCAGAAATTGACCTGTTTGACCGATTCTGCGCCTGTTCATAAGGTCAATTTTATACGGGCATATGCTAAAGCGCGCGAGGTTGGAATGACGGCAAAGAATATATTGTCCGGCTGGAGGGTCACTGGGAATTGGCCGATCTCACGATCCAAGGCATTGCGGCATCCAGAAATTCACGCGGACATTGTAGAGACGTCTCCAAAGTCCGCGCCATTTTGGGTTCTGATGATACGCCAAGAAACAGCCACCAGATTCGCGATTTCGGAAAGAACAAGACTCCTGGCACCCGGAGACGATACGCCGTGATAGCTAGAGGCTTTGAAGCCCAAGAACAGACGCTTGCCGAGCACAGCAACAGAATCGCGAAGCTAGAGGAAGAAGTGGCCCGGCTGCAGAGAGGCAAGAAGAGGAGAGCAATTCCGAACCCGAACAGACGGTTCATGACTCTCAGTGAAGCTTTGGTGGCTGAGGAAGCCATTCCCAAATTAAAAGCCAAGAGATAGCCGTTGTGCTGAATTCTGACACAGAGGAGGAGGCGGTCTCAGAGGTGGAGACAGCTTCAGTGATCGAAGTCAAGGTGGCACCGAAGCCCTTCCAGTCACCACCAGATCCGGGCGAATGGTAAAAAGCGCCGGTACATATAAGAGCGTCCATTTCTCTACGGAATGATATAATTTTTGTGTTTATAATGTTAAGTTCTGATCATATTTCATGTAGTTCAAATGGTAGACTTTTGGTGGAGAATTTTTCAATTGCGCTACCGAAAGGTGGGTGTTACCGAAAGGGGGGTGGGGCATGGTAGACGATGGCCCAATTCCGTATATTGACTGTGTCACATCATGCACAACGTGCCCTATACGGCATGCAAGCGCCAGAAGTCTTTTATAAAATGGAGTACCACTATGCTACAGATGTACAGGCCGGAACATATTCCGTCTCAAGTAGTAGACCATGAGCCCCTGGATGACTCTGATGAACTTCCCCCAGAGGCTTCTCTGTTCTATACACGTGGCTGTTAGAGCAGTAGGTTGCTTCCATCTGAATGAAGAAGACATGAACTTCCAGTCCTTGTCTTTACCCACCTTTGCTTCCGTTTTGTGTGGTGGACTGTTTGAAACACTTTGCTACCTGCTTGTAACAAGGCACAAGACACGAGCCCTCCCATGTCCAACTTGAAGGTCTCGTTTGGCAACAGCTTGGCGAGCCTCTAAGAAACTTAAAAGAGGCACTCTCAATTTCGTCTGTTCGGTCTCCATTCATGAAGATTGTGATCCCTTCACTGTGATCTGATATTGATACACTTGATTTTCGGAATGTAGGCATCGTCTCTTAGAGGCTGAGACAGTCGAGTAGCAACGCATGTATTATAGTTGTAATAGGGAAGCGTCGCCCCTCTCCCGGACGTTGTCAACTTCGAAGCTCCGGATCATCATCTCTTGTTTAATTCCTCTTGGTATAATTCTATAACCAAAATCCACAATATGACTGATTGCTCCTGGTGTGACTTCGAGCTTAGCCTTCACCTTTTGTCCCCGATCATCGACTGCATGGCTTATATCGAAAGAGGCGAGCGTCTGAGCGATAGTTAAAAAGATGCTGGAGTTGGCAAAATAACGACCAGGACATATTCTTCGACCATAGCCAAATGCATGTCTTCTTGGATCAGGCTCGTTACGAGGCTCTAGGAAACGGTCGGGATTAAAAGAGCTTGGATCAGAATAAACGTCAGGGTTGTGCAGAAACCACCATATGGAAGGAATCAGGTATGCTCCTTTTGGGATAATATAGCCATCGTACAGCATTTGCTCAGTCGTTGCGTGTGGAAAAGCCAATGGCGTTACCGGAGACCAGCGGAAAGTTTCTTGAACTACTGCCTCAACATATGGTAACTGACTTTGGTCTGAAAACTGTGGGAGCCTTTCGGAGCCGACGACATTGTCAATTTCTGCCTGAGCCTTCTGCTGCACTTCAGGAAACATTACCATGGCCAAGAAAAAGCCGCATAAGGCCATGGCCGTCGTATCCGAGCCTGCAGCATATAGAGTCGCGGCCGTCCACTTGATGGCATGCTCGTCATTGCCACTAAGCTTAGGATCTCCTGTTGTGCTGTCGCCCTGCTGTTGACACTGTTGAACGAGCTTTGATACATACGATGGTCGATAGGCGGAGGTGGTCATTTGCCTTCGAGCAAATGCGTAGGGGATTTCAACAGTCTCCTGCGTTATCTTGTTCCACACCTGGGCCGTCTTTTTGAATGACATGCCAGGTAAAAAACTTGGGAGATACTGCAGGGCGGGAATGGCGTCAACAAGCCACGTAAGGGGAGCTGCGGCGAATGAAAAGTTAAGCATCATCTGATCAACCAACTCGATCAAAGGATCCGTGTTATTCGGATCGACAGAATAGCCGTATGTAACTTTTAAGATGGAAGCGCCTGCCTGACTACGGAGAGATTAGCCGAGTACTTCAGTATGCCTAATCCGACAATTTGCAACTTCGCTACCAGAGGTCTCAGTTTTCATGATCGCAGTGCAGGGGTGCCTCGATTCATTCTGAACACCATCACGTGTACACTTACGTCTTGAGGTTCTTGATCAAATTCTCCGGTGTGGTCAAAGTCCGCAAAAGGAATCGCCGTACTTCTGCTTCGTGAATGGCATTAAACTGTGCTGCCGTTGTCTTCGATCCAAATTGCTGGTGGAGGAATTTGCGACCTCGGCGGAAATTATCATCGTATTGCTGTGTTGATAAAAGGTTGCCGTAGCCACACAACTTACAAAGAAACTCGAACGCCGGACGCCCCGAAGTCTTTGCGGACGCTTTTTCCAAAAGAACACTCACTGCATCCTCATCATGGATAATGACAAGAGTCTGGCCTAGGGTAGTGATAGAGCTTATTGGTCCATATAGTTCTTTTTGCTTAAGCCAATGTCGAAATTCGTGAATCCCCTTTGGCGGGAGATCCAAGATGTTGCCCACAATCGGTAAAGGTTTTGGGCCGGGGGGGAATCTTAGGCCTGACTTTGACGAGAATCTCAAATAGACGAGAAAAGAAACCAGGAGAGCACAGCAAGTGAGAATAAATGCCATGATGCCATGAAAACAGAAACAAAATGTTGTTTCTTATGATGATTGCCCTCGTTAGGTGTTATTCTTCTTACGTGTCAGGAGCAGACGTGGACCTAGAAAGGAGCGAACTCTTTTTCACTACGCATGAGGATCTATGGACCGACAAACTCAAATCAATGACGTTTGAGGACCCGTACGTGGCATTCACTAGGTCAGAATAATCTTCAATACTAGTTATGTCAGTTTAGCTAGTTGTAAATATAGTTTGCTTTGCCGGCGGGTCTTATCATGTACTGAGCGTCGAAATGGCCCGCTAAAATGTGACACTGAGACGTGGCCCGCTACTGCAGCGAGAAAACAGCGGAAAGTACATTATTTCGGCAGTAAACAGATGAGAGAACCACGAGGTGGTGCAAGATTATTGTTACATGTATGTTCAGTCTGAAAACTGCCTTCGAGGCGTAAGGGCTTCCGCGAGTAGAGCAACAGAACGCACTGTTGAGTGTGGTCGAAAACACTTATCAAGTCAGCGGAATTGACTCAAGGACCCTCTAGTGATACCTGCACGTGTGTTTGGTGCATCTTGATAAGCAAGGTTGTTATGCAGTGCAACGAGGTGGTATCACTTCGGCGAGATTTCTGTTAAATTTCTCCTGCATTGGTTTGCAAACGGATTTTATTAGACATAGATATCCACCTAGGTACGTAACTGATATTTCGGACCATGGCTCAACAAAAGTGCCAAGCGAAGTCGCCGCGGTTCCACTAACCTACATGTAACGAGGCCCTCTGTGGCATGGGCCCCCGGTACTTTAATTGCTGCAGAGGCGCCCGGTTTTCTTAGATATATAGGCGCCCGCGTACCTATCGGCTCCCGCCGCGAGGGCACTCACAACATGAACGAAATCATCTTTATTATTACAGGCCCCTTTCAAAGAGCCCTCAACAGCGTTCAGGTGTACCGATAGAACTTCTAAGGCTTTGTTCATCTTACAATGCCTCGTGATTCGGAATCAACTTCTCCTCATCTTGAAACAGCACGAATACTCAAAGACTGGCTGAGAGAAGTCGAGTTTGACCTCCAGCAACCATTGCGACCGTTTCCGACAGAGCTCTATGATCAACTTCGTGAATGGATTCTGTCTCAGGGTCTAAAGGAGTGCCAGCTCGATCTCATATTGAACCTCTTGCCCACATGCACCAGCGCTGCAGACAAATGGTACCCTCGGGCTTCCATCCGAGTAAAGCGATACATTGCTCTTTACACAACTTTCCTCCTCTACGTCGATGATAGAGCCGAGAAGGATCTTGACGGCGTGCTTCCCGATTTCCGACGCATTGCGTCTCGATCAAGCATGGGGCTGCAATCTACGTCGTGTCAGGACGCCGGCATCGCGTTGTGGCTAGATCTCATCGTTTCGGAGACCGAGTCGCTTTTTGGTCCATATTCTACCGGCGTTATATCCAAAGGATTTGTGGACTTCATACTGGGAAATATGGCTGAAGCAGGCTTGGCTGAAAGCCTGACACTGCCAGTAAAGTTTGCATCTAGGAGCTCTCAATTTATCCGCGACAAGACGGGTGCAGGTGAAGTATATGCTCACTTCCTGTTTCCAGAGCATCTCATCAACGAAGGCGAATCCTTTAAAATGTACATTCAGTGTGTGCGAGCAATGATTGATATTATCAACCATGTGAATGACATCTTGTCATTCTTCAAAGAGTGTGTCGTTGGCACGGACGAAAACACACATATCGTGAACATAGCCGGAGCTGCTGGCTGTGCCCCACAGATGATTCTGAAACAGGTGTGCTCGGAGATGTCTGAGGCTATGAAGGTTGTCAAGAACGCATTCGAAAGCATGCCGCAGGTCGCAGAAATTTGGCACGATTTCATTAATGGTTACATTATGTGGCATATCCATCACGACCGATATAGATTGAAAGAACTGGGTTTACTTATCTTTTCGGATTCGCAGGTGTAATTTAGAAATCTTCTTAGTATTGGTATAGGAATAGGACCTGTTCCTGTTTCAAAGCTAAGCCTTTTAGTGGTATCTGTCGATGGACTGTTATTCTGGTACTCATGAGGTAGGGGCAGCACAAGAAAGGATAAAGATGCATGATCTAGCTAGAAAGAATCGGCCACGGGGCCCTATTTATGTTGTAGTCAGAGGGACCCTCAGATGACTTACATAGGCACCAAACTGACCCCATACGTGAGGTCTTTATGGGTCCCCGATACATGGCCTCTAATGATCCTTCAGGTGGCCCTCCCTTGATCCTTCAGGTGACCTACTAACAGCGGTGCCTATACTAGCCGACAGTATCTTATGTCGTCCTAACGGAACGGGTCCCTTTGCAGGGTCTCAATTTTCTTGATGGGAATGACTGTGCGCAAACTTCTCTGAATTGTTACTTTCTTAGCAGATGGGTGTTAAGAAAATAACTCAAGTTAGACCAACTCGCTCAACAACTGCTTTCGACAAAAAATTTCAAGAGCGCCGCGCTCAGGCGCCGGTAGCGACCATCTGGATGGCACCAGCTCTAGGTTCCCATGCCGTTTCTGATGCTTGGCTACTGTACCAATACTATACTGTACGCTGGTCAGTGAGTGGAGAATTATTGCAATCCCGCGATATTGTACTATATGTATTTAGAGCGATGATGAAGTGAAGACGCTGGCATAGCCAGATTACCAACTGTTGTACATAGAGACGAGTTGCGGGGAACGGGTTGGGTCGGGGTGTCGCTCCTAGACCCTTCTGCGCTGCCTAGTGGAGACGGCAATGCTACTCGACGCCAGCTTACTTTCTGGCTGCAGTAGAGACAATTTTGCTTATTATGAAGGGGTTGCAGCCCTTATAGCTCAGTACTACCAAGCAGCCAGAAGCGAGGGTGCTGTCAGTCGCCCAAGACTTGGACTTGCTGCGCTGTTGTGAAGCCAGAATCGGCCGCAGGTACGGTAACGGAAACCCAGGCACCCACAATTGGCGGAAGGGTCTAGGAGCGACACCCCGTGTTTTCTGCATCCGACCTTCTCTTGTGCGACAGCTGGTAATTATGTTCTACTGTACAGTACCAATCATCCGCCAACCACTCACTTGAGCTCACTATCATTCCGCCATAAGCCAGAGCCGCTACTAGACGTTCAAAGGCACATGTTCAAAGGCTTGTTTATACCGACGGCACAATCACAACCGCGGCCAGCCAAGCCCCTGCCAGCGGAGTCCCCCTGCCTGGCCGACCCCTGCTAGAAGTATCGCTTCCCAGAAAATGAGGCAATGGCAACGACAATAACGACGACTTCGAAAGCGGTGTCGATATTAAGGCTGAAAACCCGAAGGCACGGCCCCATCTAAGCTTGAAAGCTCTGGCAGGTCAAAAGCCTCGCCCAAACCAGCAAGCGTTATTACGCAACGGAGAAGTTCGGGGGAGTAGATTGGGTAAAGAAAATGCGGGTGTCGCTCCTAGACCCTTCCGCCAATTATGAGTGCCTGGGTTCCCTTGACCGTATCTACGGTCGATTCTGGCTTCACAACAGTGCAGCAGCTCATTAGTGGGATATCCTGCCCGATTATTGCTCAATTATCACATACTGTATACGTCGCTTGCTATGTATGAAGTTGAGACGCCGTTGGTTCACGTGTCAATGGCAAAGCCTACGAGGCTACGGGCGCCTCAGTGGCCATCCGCCGACGGCTGTATGGATAGAGGCAAAGTAGATTTGATAGCTTTAAGGTACTATGAAGTATAACAGGAGACAAGAAGAGGAAGGAAGGGAAGGTGGGCGACGCGGGGTCTCGGAGTCGTTGGTGAGAAAGAGACCAGGAGCCAGAATCTCCGTTGCCAGACCGCGTCCGCTTCAAGATACATTTCAGTAACTCTACTTCTAGATACATGTACACAAACACTGACGGTAATGCTGTCCTGGTGCGGCGGGTAAACGGATAATACCGGCATCAAGTTCCGTGTTGCACCAAATACTGCTGTTGTTTCTCAATGTGAGAGAGGTTGTGGACGTGTGTTGCTGCAGGCTGGTTGAGGGCTTATGCACGACAGCGCCACATGCGTCTGGATGTCGCTTCCAACTGTCCCTGTCCGGGATGGGTGGCATGAGTCATATGGGATGACTTTTTAGATGCAGATCGTAACTCCATCACATTCTACTCCTCTACAGTAGAGGCTGTACGCATTGCCAGCAAGGGCCTGGTATAGACTATCTCGCTCTATGTACAGAGCATTGCACTATGTACAGCCGAAGCGCTCTCCTGGCCTACACACATCATTTTGGGATGGGTGCTACTGTACTCTTTGCATGGATCACTGAGCTTTCAGCTTCATCTCCTCTCGTGATGGCTGCGCCGCAGTCTGGGCTGGCTTGTGGAGCTGCTGTGCATAAACCCGAACCAACTGCAGCAACACTTATCCACTTTGGTAATGGCCTTCGTGGTGTAACCAACAGCAATATTCGGAGCAGTATGGAACTTTTGGCTCCAGGTCATCTATCCACCAACGACTCCGAGATCCCGAGTCTCCCACCTCTCCTTTCCCCTCTCCCTCTGTCTTCTCTCCAGCTGTAACTAAGAACATTTCAAACTATCTACCGCCCACGTAAATGATTCGACTGGACAGAAGCCATTCAGGAGCCCGTTGCCCTCCTGCCCTAATGTCCCAGGCACCTCTCGCCGGCAACGGTGGCGGGCCGAGGGTGCGCCGCCGCCGCTGCCGATTGCCCCGACACGTATTCGTGAAGTTGCCTCCTTGGGAAGGAAGGACTGGCGTCTCTATGAGGTCTTGGGCACATCTTCCTTAGCCGTAAGCTGGCTGGCCGTGGTCGTAATGCAAAGGCGACTAGCATCACTCTCCTCTCGCGGTTGCTCAACCTCGACACTCCTAACAAGCTCCGCGTGCTTCTTGCTCCGGGGCTCGATGTTGCAAGAGAAAGCTAGAGGGTGACTGAGTACTCCAGGTGTGACCCCAAACTTGACTTCAATTTCCTTCCCGTGATTATTTACCGCTTTAGTAATATCCAGAGCGGCTAATGTCTTCGCAATGGTGAGAAAAACGCTCGAATCAGCGAAATTTCGCCCGGGGCATACTCTGCGCCCATAACCGAATGCCTCGTTCTTAGGATCAGGCTCCTTACGCGGCTCTAGAAACCGCTCGGGGTCGAAAACGTCAGGCTCCGCATACACCTCAGGATCATGTAAAAACCACCATATTGCGGGAAGTATAATTGCTCCTTTTGGGATATTGTACCCTTTTTCGATAGCGTCCTCGAGCATTGCATGTGGAAAACACAGGGGTACAACGGGAAACCACCTGTACGCTTCTTGAACCACGCTCTCGACGTATGGAAGCTTGTCTCGGTCTTCAAATCGGGGAAGCCGGTCAGTGCCGATCACGTTATCTATCTCCTCCTGCGCCTTGCGTTGCACCTTAGGGTTCATAACCATAGCAAGGAAGAAACTTGTCAGTGTGATGGCGGTCGTGTCAGCCCCAGCGGTATACATCATGGCGGCAGTCCACTTAATGGCATGCTCATCGTGACTGCATAGGTTTACCTCTTCCGTTTCACTATGCTGTTGTACCAACCGAGACACGTACGACTGCCTGTGAGTATGTGTCATCATCTGTCGTCGTACAAAGGAATAGGGTACTTCCGCCACTGCCTGGCTGATCTTGTTCCACTGCCGCGCCGTCTTCTCATAGGATGTGCCGGGGAAGCCATCTGGAATAAGTTATACTTAAGATGAGGGAAAATGTCCACCATCCAAGCTAGGGGAACCGCGGCAAGTGAGGCATTCGCCAACATGCGCCGTATCAATTAAATAAGAGGGTCAACTCCTTTTGATTCGATGGAATAACCGTAGGTCATTGTTAAAATAATGGCCCCTATCATGCTGCAATGTAGTCCACGGTCGGCTATTTAACACTCAAGGATAACAAGCACTTATTCTACCAAGATGCCTACCTTTCCAATGTTGGACTAGATGCTCCGGCTGGTTCATGGCCCGCAAAAGAAGTCGTCGCACTTCCACTTCTTGTATGTCATTGAATCGGGCCACCGCCGCCTGAGAACCCAGTTGCTGGTGCACGAGCTTGCGATGAAGGCGGAACTTTTCGTCGTACTGATGAGATATGAGCAGATCTTTGAAACCACATAATCCATAGAACACTGTCGAAGGGCGACCTGCGGACTTTGTGGATTTATTCAGAATATTATGTGCTGCGTCCTTGTCATGAATGATCACGATCGTCTGCAAGCGAGTTGTCCCCCGAGAAGCCCTCAGGCGCGGAAAACTGGTCGGGGCAAGCCAAGACGGGAACCGGGAGTTCATCACGCTGATCACTGCCATATGTGCAGATTATTCGTACCTGCCACCGGCCCTCATTTACAAAGGGGAGTCAAAAGACTTCTAAGATACTTAGCTTAAGGATTTTGACCATTCCAGCGAAGTAGCCTTCTTCGCCAGTACGGAAAACGGCTAGAGCTATGACGCACTAGGTTTACACTAGCTTTAGCGCATATTTGACTGCCATACGAAGCAAAAGGCTGGTCGTGCCTACCGTCTCTTAATTTTAGACGGTCACAATAGTCACATTAACCTAAAATTCATTAACTATGCCGATCGGAATCGAATTCTCATTACTATATTGCCATCGCACTTAACTTATCGGCTTCAACTACTCGATGTTGGCCTATTTTCCGCACTCTCTACCTATTATGCTCAAGGTTCCGACCAGCTAGTGTCTATTAGATAGGGGTTAATTCGCCTTACTAAACGGAACTTTTGGCCACTCTTTCGTGATACGTGGAACTAGGCATTTACGGCTAAAAATATCGAGGCTAGTTGGCGGGCTATAGGAATCCATCTACTCGACCCCGGCAAAGTATTATCTAAGATTAGCCATAGTAGTAATGTGACACCCCTATAAACTGCATCTAAGGAAAGGGCGATGAAGACTCTAGGCTCTCTTCGGGCTATTCGGCGCATTACCCGCCGTCTCCGCAAGGAAGGGCTGATAGACTCCCGAGTCACAGCGCTCTCCCGAGCATTAGAGAAACTAGCGACATAATATAAGCTCGTATAACACGAAAATCGAGATCTATAGGAAGCGCTTAAACTTATATATAAAAAAGGGAAACGTAGAAAGGCCTTAGGCTTTTTTAATCTAGAAGAAAGTAGTGGCTAGCCGGTCTTTTTTAGTCTAGCTAAGGTAGAACTAGCGCGGCGACGTTAGACGGATAAGGCATAGGCCGACGAGCAGCGCAAGCAAGCTATTAAAGATCGTCGACTCTAGGTAGCTATATCACGTAAAGAAAAGGCTCGAGAATCTGCCGAGAAGAAAAAACAGCGGGCTACAATGCGTCAGGCCTTACGAGAGCAGCGTTCTCGAGAGAAGATAGAGCGTGCTGCGGAGCGCGAGGCAAAGCGAGCTAAGAAACGGGAGGCCGCAGCAAAATTAAAAGCAGAGAGGTCTGCACGCGAGGCTGAACGCCAGGCTATTCGGGAAGTTAAGTTTAAGGTAGCTGCTACGTTAAAGCCTGGTATAAGAGGGCATAAAAGACATAGTAGCGGTGAGAAAAACGAGGGGCGTTAGAAGCGGGTTTACGCGACGGGCATTTAACTACGCAATAACTCAGAGGAAGAAAGGGTAAAGATTGGTTCTAAAGCTTCAGTGGCTCGAGACTATAGTCCCGGAGCTTTAGGGGTAAAAGATATACCTCCCGTTCGACGGAAGCGCAGGGAAATATAGAGGCCGGTTTCTCAGTCTCTTAGGTCTAGGCGGACTATAAGACCGCCTGCTTATATTTCCTAAGAAAACCATTATATAGATAGACTCTATATAAAGTGTTTTATATAATTATAATGTTTAATAGTATTTTAAATGGTTATATCGGTTGTAGGATTAATTTTCGCTCTAGCTTGCCGGTCGGGCAATTTATTGCATGACGTGGTGCGTTGCATGACTCAGTGAGGTACGTTATCGCAGCCCTCAGCCCCTCTAGCGCACCTGTCGCCTCAGCGTCGAAGACCTCCGCAGGTCTAAGACGGCCTTTGCCGCTCGAAACAGTGGTTCCGTTCCGGTGAATTACAAAGCCGTATCCGGCGTGACCGTGGACAGAAAGGGATCCGTTAGAATACACGACCAGAGTTCGGGGCGATAGTATCCGAAGCTAGCCCTTAACCTTCATCGCGGTATCGTCCTTTAATGCATCCCGTAGGAGTGTGCTCGTTCTACAGCCAAAGCTACGTTGTAGCAGGGCAGGCCTTAGGCAGCTTAGTAGCAACGCGTCGCTACGCCGCAGCCTAGTCTAGAAGGGTGTTGCCTATTTTTAGTACTTTAGCTTAATTAGCTTATTCACGGTACGGGCTTTTAGTTGCATCGTACGCTTAGCGAGCGGATAGGCTTTATTAAGTAATTTAAGGCGCGCAGTAAAGGCCGTCCAACGCGCGTCTAGTAGTAGAGAGACGGGCGGTATTCTTGCCTCCCGGTATAGGACGTTCGTCGGCGTCGTCCTCTATACCGGTAGAATAGCTCGAAGAGACGTATAAAGTACCTTGCTTATATTCTTAACGAGGTAACTAATTTTAGACGGGCCTTCTTTAGTTAGCTTAGTCTAGCGCGGGCACGTAGGGCTAGGGTACTAGGCTTCCGCCGCGTAGAGCAATACTAGAATAACGTAAGCGTAGATAGCTCGTCGTATAGTACTCGGTAAAGGCCTATGCTTAGTATTTATTAGTCTTCTAAGATAGAAGGCAATAGCTAGCGCCTTAGCTATCTATTTCTAAACGTAAGTCTTAAAAGAGAGTATACTATCGAGCTAGACGCCGAGCTAACGTATCGCTTAGTCTAGCCGTTTCTCGACTTAGCTATATAGCACTAGCGGCGTTATCTTAGGCTTCGTTCGAGAGAAGTATATTACTTCTATCTTATCGGGGTTAAAAGAGATACCGTTAGCAGCGCCCTATAAAAGAAGCTTATATATATAGTAAGATACTTTAGCGGAAGTTTCGTTAAAGCTATCGCCGACGTATAGAATAGCGGTGTTATCTATATAACTAAAGCGGCCTTTTAAGTTACCTAGGCGGTAGATCGGTTCTATATATAATAGGAAGAGAATCGGCGAGACTAGCGATCCCTATAATAGACCATACTATAGAGGCGATAAGTCCGTTACGATATCTTAAAAGCGAATATATACCGATCGGTCTTATATAAATAAGCTAACTTAGCGCGCGAGGTTCGATAGCTATCCTTATTCTCGTAAGCGAAGGACTAATCTATTATATAGGACTATATCGAAAGCGCCCTATATATCTAAGGTTACTAGGGTCGCGACTTACTTATAGGCGAATGCCTCCTCGATATCGTAAACTAAAGTAGCTATAAGATCTATAGCTAATCTCTTTAAAAGCGCGCCGATCTATTATAAGTATAAAACACTAAAGTAGATTAAGGCTTATACTAGTAGTCGTATAATAAGCCGCTCGAGGCCCTTACTAAGATAAGATAAAAGGGAGATAGGGCGCTAGGCGCGGGGTATAGTTAGATCTCTACGCCCTAGCTTAGTAATTATAATAACTTCTACCTCTCGAAAAGGCTTTAGATAGTAACCGATTCTAAGGTAGCCTTAATAAAGCTAATAGACGCGACTGCCGATTATATACTAGATAGCGCGAAGTATCTATACCGTAATATTATCCGAGCCTAGAGATATATTCCCTATATATAGAGTAGCGTCGCGAACCTCCTTAAGGGAGACCTAATCGGTAACGGGGATTATCTTATCCGCATTTACGAGGATCTATAGGTCTAGGATATTATCGCTTACTATACGCCGCTCTAGAGTAGCCCGTCGTAAGGCGGTGGCCTTTTCTAGTTACGTCTTATATACTCGGCCGTCTACCTATAGCGGAGGAGCTTAAAAAGGACCTAGCGATTTTAGCTAACGAACCGCCCTAAAGACGGAATCGCTATCGGTAAAGCTGTCGATTAAGCCGCGCTAGTAAAGGCGCTTGGCCCGGCGTACTACTTAATAAAATTCCTTTTTAGCTAGTTATACTTCTCGGTCGAAGCCGAGAGGATATACTCTCCTCTACGCGCGGTACTTAGCCGCCGCCTTTACGCATTCCTCGGTCCACCATAATACGCTATGTATAGACTTACGAACGGGTCGGCTAGCAGCCCTGGCTACGCAACCAAGAAGGTCTACCAGCGCCGACGCAAAGTTATCTAGCCCGGAGGGAGATATAGTGGTGGTCGGGATAAAAGCTACACCGGCTTCTACTAGCTTAATAAATCGCTTTAATTCCTTATCGGAGTTAAGGTAGATTTTACTTATTAGAAGGGGTGCCACGGCTTAACTAAGCAGCGTAATACTAAGGGTAAAATAGTCGGAGCCGGTTGCTAAATAATCCTTAATAACCGCGTCGGCTAGAGGTATATTAGAGAAGGCGAGATCGACCGTACTGCCGCGAGCGTTAGTCGGGACATCGACAGCATTTAG